TGGTCAGGCTCAGGCTGGGTGCACTTGAAGGTGCGATTCCTACTGGCACCTGCCCTCCAGTGCTGTCCCCAGGCCAGGCATCATGCTTGGCAGGACAGCAGGGGTCCAGGGAGACAGGAGGCAAGCAGACAGGGCAGCGCCAGGGGAGCGGGCACCGGGCAGTGTCATGTGCAGAGGACACACAGAGTGGAGGCCCACAGGGAGGGATGGGCCAAGGGAGAGCACTGCAGCTGCTGGAGCCAGAGCACCCAGGCACAGGAGAGGTGGCCAGGGCCTCCGGCAGGACGCAGGGGAGAGGCCTGGCTGGGGCAGGACCCTGCGGTGGGGAGGAGGCTCACCTTTGGGATGGACGGAGCTGAGGAGGCCCAGGAGGTGCCCGAAGGTCCTGGGCTGCCGCATGCAGGTGCCACACACTCGGAGGCCGGCAGCAGAGGACGTCCACTCAGCCTGTGTGGCTCCTGAGGCTTGCCCTTGTGGCCCTGGGGGTTGAAGTGGGGGCGCTCCACCGCTGAGCTGCACGCCCAGCCCTGTTGGTCTCCTGAGTCGGGGTCTCCCTGAGCTGCCCAGGCCGGCCTGGAATGCGGCGCCTCTGTCTGCCAAGCTGCTGGATCGCCAGTGTGGCCACCATGCCCAGCCTTTTCCTGCTCTGATGAGAACACTTAACTGTCACTGGGTTTGGTCTCCAATTGAGCAGACCTGAGCAGAGGGGTCGGTACAAGGCCATGAGATGACCCCAGGGGATCTCATGATCCTTAATGCAATCACACCCACAAAGACCCTTGTCCACATGTGTATGAACACATCCAAAGGTCCCCCTGGACACGAATGTGGGGGACACCTTTCACCCTGCTAAAGGACCCAGGATCCGAAGACAGGAGCAGAGCTCCCGGGGGTCCAAGGATGCTGGCAGGTCCCTGGAGGCAGCCGTGGCTGAAGGCAGGTAGCCCCCATGTCCCACTACAACTGTGTCTTTATGAGGTGCTGTAACTGTTCCTCCTGCAGGGGACCCCTGGAGGAGAGGGGGAGGTGAGCCAGGCGGAGTGCTCTGACGCTACTCCAGTGTCCAGCACCTACAGAGCCCTCCTCAAGTACCAAGTGGGGACTGAGCTGCCGAGAAATGGAGTCTCCCTTCAATGCCATCGCAGGCTGCAGCTCTGGGTCACCTGTCGGCCAGCTCAGCAGGTGCAGGGACAGGGAGGCCCAAGTAGCTGGGCTGGGTGCTCCTGGGCAGGACGCCAGGGAAGGCAGAAGCTGAGAGGGAGGCTGTGCATAGGGGCAGCTCTGGGCCCCTGCAGGCTGGACCCACCCCACTGCCCTCTCCAACCGTGACCCTGCTCCTTCACCCTCCTGCACGTGTGCGACCATCCCCCCAAACCCACAGTGAAGCCCCAACCCCAAGAACCTCAGAAAGTGACCAGTGGAGATGGCCTTTGAGGAGGAGACTCGGGTAAGAAGGCTGTTGGGGTGGACCCCATCCAACAGGTCCTTGGGAGAAGAGGAGGGTCAGGACAGGTAGAGACACCAGGCTGGACCAGGGACACTGAGCCTGCCGCCCAGGTTCCCAGGCTCTGGACCAGCAAGAGAAGAGCCCTCCAGCACCCGAGCCCCAGCCCCAATCCACTCTCCTCCTACAGGCTGAGCCGGGGCTGCCTCCTGGGAAGAGCCCTCTGCCTGCTCGACCCTCGACGCTGTGGGGCCCAGACGTAGGGTCAGGACCTGCATGGGGGCCTGGCGGGCTGCATACCATGCGCCCAGCAGCGTCAGCCAGCAGGCCCAGGGTTGGTCCTCCCAGTCATTGGTGCCCGGCCAGGCTTGACGGAGACATGGAGGCCTGGTGGAGGGTCACCACCTCCCTGGGGCCCTCTGGGGTGGGCGCTGTCTGAGCACAGGGCCCAGGCTTCTCCTTCCCCAGTCATCACCGGCTTCGCCACCATGAGGCAGAAATATCCTGAGTGCCCGCTGGTCTCCAACTTAGCAGACCTGAGCAGAGGGGTTGGTACAAGGCCATGAGAACCCCCAAGAACTGGCCAAAAGTGACAGGAAGGGCCGGGGCTGGGGGGGGTGGTATCCAGCCTGGGCCTGTGGTCTGTGCTGGCCACCTCCAGGGACAGGAGAGTCCACTCTGCCTTCGTCAGCAGAGCTCAGGCTGCCAGAGGTGAGAGCCCAGGCCAGGTGGGCTCTGTGGCCCTGAGCCTTGGGGCTGCCAGGCAGCCCAGCAACTTGCAGACAGGCACTGATCCCCCAGAACCTGCTGGGCACAGGGCACAGCGGGTCCAAGGGAGGCCTCACTTCCCCTGTGCACGTGCCTGTCCTCTGCTTGCAGGCCCACATGCCTCCCACGTGGCCCAGGAAGCTACAGCCAGCAGCACCCAGCTCAGCCAGCACCCCAGACCGCAAACTGCCCCAGCCCAAGTCCCCAGGCTGCCTCTCACTGGATGGTGTGGCTCATGTGTCCATCCTGAATCCAGGGACAGAGGTGAGCCAGCTGCCCAAACTGGGCTTTATGTTCCAGAGGCAGAGCCAGCATCTGCAAACCCTGCACCACAGGGACAAAGCAGAGACTCTCTGAAGGAAACTGGTGGTGCCAGGAGCATGGGCAGCAGGCAAGGCTGGATCAAGGAGCTCAGAGGCTGAGACAGATGTGTGAGTGTGCACATGGTACATGTAATTTACAGGTTTGTGGGAAGTTACCTACTTTCTATTTTTTGTTTTCTCAAAATTTGATTTTGGTTTTTGGGTTTTGGCCAACAATATGAGTAGCCCCATGGGACACCTGGGTCTAACCCCTGTATTCTCTCCAGACTCAGTGCAGGTCCATCCTCTGGCTATACATGTCCTGGTGTGCTCAATCCAGGGCAGCCACCAGCTGCTATGGCACCTTTGTGGGTCTCAGAAAGATACCTGTGCCCCAGTGGCATGTCCATCCCCAGCAGGACACTGGGTCCAGGGAGCAGGGTCCAGTCTCACCACGCTCAGGCCACAGCCAGCCCACTGGGCACAGCCCTGGCTCAGCCAGTCTGCTGCAGACGGGCAGAGTTCACCTTGAACACGAGCCTTCCTGAGCCCAGACAGGAGTGACCGTCCAGGGCAGACAGCAGGTGCTGGACCACCACAGCTGCTCCAGTGGCCTTCCCAGGGGCCACACAGAAGGCCCCAGGTCCTGCACCTCACGCCCACCTGAAGGGCTGGCTGGTGGAAGCTGCCTCTCAGAGCCTGGACTCTGTTAAAGGCCAGAGCATGGGTAGCTTGAAGGCACTCTAGCAGCACTATGCCTCGGCCCCTGGGGAGCCATAAGACCTGTCACCAGCCTCGCAGGACCTGCCGTTCTCCTAGTTGCTGAGGTCAGTCCCTTCCTATGCTTGCTCAGACCCAGCCACTGTCCTTCTTCAGTGCTGATAAAACCCCAGTGAAACCTCTCACCAGCACAAACCAACAGCCCCTCCATGCAGCCTTCAGCCTGTACTCAAAACCTCAAAAGCAGTGGGAGTCCCCTTACTCTGGTCACCCGCCATGGCACACCCACTGGCCCCTTGATCAGCCTTGCCTGCCACACACACTCTCCCACACCCTGACTTCTGATTTCCTTCAGAAAATCCCTTTCAGCCAGCACACTCCTGTAACCCCCACAGCTCTGGAGGCTCAGGCAGGAGGATCTCAAGTTCAAAGCCAGCCTCAGCAACTTAGTGAGGCCCTAAGCAACTTAGCAAGACCCTGTCTCAAAATAAAAAGGGCTGGGAAATGTGGTTCAGTGGTCAAGCACCCTGGCCAGGTTCAATCTCTAGTACAAAAAAAAAGTCCCTTTCAGCCCAGGCAGCTCCCCTCCTACCACCCGATGCCACAGCCTGGTTCAGGGATAGAGAGTCGGACCATGTCATCCAGAAAGACAGCCTTGATACTAGCTTTAGAGGACCCCTCTCTACCTGCTCTTGCAAGCTGGGAAATGTTTGCTGCAGCTGCCCTTGCGGCCTGAGAGTCCAGGTTCCTGTCCTGCTGCTGTACAGCTCCATCCACTCTTGCTGATGGTGGCCACTCTGGACATCCAATTGAATGAGCCATAAACCCTCTCCTCCACTAGGGCCAGGTTTGGGTTGAATCTCTGTGCTGGGACCTACCTAGTCCTTCCATCAGCACCAGCGATCTGGCCAGGTCCAGTGGCTCAGGAGGCTGAGCAGGAGACTCACAAGTTCCAGGCCAGCCTGGGCAACTTAGGGAGACCCAGTGTCGCCACCAAAAAGAGGCTGAAGAAGGCTCCCAGCCTTCCACTCTCAAACCCTCCCACCGGCTCTCCGGAGGCCAGCACTCTGGGACCCTTCCCCATGCTCTCCGGACTCCCCACGCTCCCTAGGGAACCCCCTCCCCGCTCTCCCCGCCCTGCGTTCTCCGCCCCCACGCTCCCTCTGACTCCCCTCCGGCTCCGCGGCCCGCGGGCTCCCCCACGCGCCCGTTCAGCTGCGACGGCCGCCAGTCCCGAGCGAATGCGACAGGGCCCCAGGCGCTGAGGCGGGCGGAGAGGTCTGCTTCACAAAGGTGGTCAGGACCCCGGGGCTCCGCCGTCCCACCAGCGCGCCGCGGCCTGAGGACGTCTTGGGACCCTCGGGGAGCGCCTGCCTTGCGCGACCCATATACAAAGCCCGTGCGACTCGTAGGCAGGAGGGTGGGTCACGGGCCCTTTAAGGCGGCGGGCGGGGGCGGGGGTGTCCTTAGCCACATTAGCATGTCCCCGCCCCTGGAGGAGGGCGGGCGCGCAGCTAGTCCCGCGGAACTGGGCGCCAAGCGGGTGCGGCCGGGAAGGGCGCCGGCCCTTTAAGGCGGCGGGCGGGGCGAGCGGTCATTAGCGTACATTAGCATGCCCCGCCCCTCGAGGCGGGCGGCGAGCGGTAGTCCGGCTGAGCTGCGCGCGGGGCGCGGGGCGCGGAGCCGAGCGGAGCGGATCGCAGGGCGCGGGCTGCGGGCGGGCGCGGGGACCCTCGCCTCCGCGCCGCCGCAGCCCCGAGAGCGGGATGGGGCGCCGCGCCGCTCGGGGGCCGGGCCCACCGCTCGTGGGACTCCGGCTGTTACCGCTGCTGCTGCTGCTGCTCGCGCTGGCGGCCCGCGGGGGCTGCGCCGCGCCCGCACCTCGCGCAGAGGACCTCAGCCTGGGGGTGGTGAGTGCATGGCCCGGGGCGAGTAGAGCGCCGCGCGTGAGCGAGGGTTCCTGCGGGCGGCTGCGCGGGTGAGGGGGAAGCCCACCTGTGAGTCTCGGGTGAGGGGACCCGGGGCGCTGGGACCCACGTCCCAGGCAGGGAAACTGAGGCCGGGAGCACAGGCTGAGTGAGGCCAATGCTTCCAAGTCTGGGAGGGAGCCGGGTCCCTTCCCCAGTCTTGCGCTCCATGCGCACGCAGCTGTAAGGAGCCTGGGGAGCTGGGGGGAGTCGCCTAGCCGGAGCCCAGGTCCCCGGCTTGGAGCAGTCCCAAAGCGGGGGAGCCCGGAGGGTGGGGACCGCCATCGCAGCTGCCGTGAGCATTGCGCCCCGCGTGCTTCCTGGCGGGAGCAGTGAAGGGCAGGGGCGCGCATCCCTGAGCCGAGGGAGGGCCGAGGCCGTGCCTATGGGCGCTGGGAAAGCCTGTGGTCCCGGAGTTTGCCCGTGAGGGTTCGGGGAAGCCAGGGACCGGTCCCCAGCCCCCGCTGAGCGCGAATGTTGGCCCCGTCCCTCTTCCCTTTCTCTGTGAGGGCGACGATCCTTGCCCTGCCTTCCCTTTGGTCCTGTCCTGAGCCCAGTGGGGACTCCCTACCTTTCCAGGCCCGCTGCAGCCTCATCGCCTTCCCGGCCCTCCAGCCCCTCCAAGACGCTTTCCCAGGCTTGGCTAGGGAGCCCTGCTGGGAGCCGCCCGGCCTCTTCACATATCCCTCTGCTGCCTGCCTGCCCCATCTGAGTCTCCTGCAGACCCTGAGGGTTTAGATCAGACTTCAAGGATCTTGCCACGCAGGTTGGGGTAGCCAGGCGAAGATGCAGCCACTTCCTTTAGCTGAGTTATTATGAGGCCCCCACCTGTGCTACCCCGAGTCCAGGGAGATTCAGGGACCCAGGCCAGGGTGGCCTTCCGCCCAACACAAGTGGCCGGCCCACGCAGGCAATCTCCTAATGGGGTCCTGGCAGGCGGATCTCAGCATCACTGGCCTTCCCAGCTCCCAAGCCTCTGGTTCAGGAAAGTGGCCTGGTGGATTTCAGGCAGGAACATTCCAGTGAACATATAACCCCTTGGTTGGCAGGACTTGCTCCAGGGCCATCCCTGAAGTCATCTGGGAGGGCACTGGCCACCTTCCCTGCTGCCCACTTTTGGATGCCCAAAGGGCCCCTGGGGCAGGCTCCTTCCCACCCACCTGGCTTCTGAATTCAGGGCCCCCTCACATCAGGTCCCTTTGTCTCTGGGGGTCTCCCGGCTCCCTCGCTGCAGTGCATACCCAGGGGCAACAGTGTCCCAGCTCCCAAGGTGCCACAAAAGCAGCTGCCAGGAGGGCCTACAGAGTTAGGGTCAGCACCGTGGGGGATGGGGCTGGTCCAGCCCAGTTAGTTGATCAGACCTGGTGCAGTTGGGAAGTTTTGTGCCGTCCCTGGCCACAGAGACTGAGCCAGGCTCACGCTCCTGGCTGGCACCAGGAGCCAGCCTGGGCTTCCTGGTTCTTCAGCACCCCAGTTGTCACTTGCCCACCCCCACTCCCACCCAGCAGGCCACTGAGCAGGGGAAGTAACCCCAGCCTGGCCAGAGGCAGTGGGGCCCTGGCATCCCACTGGTAAAGAACAAAGACAAAGTGGCAGATGCCACAGGCAGCCCCCAGTCCTGGCCCCCACCGGGGGCAGGCCTGGCTCTCTGGCGTGGGCAGACTCGCCCCTTCTGCTCCCATCGTGGTGAGGCGGCGCCCTCTGGTGGCCCCCAGCAGGGATGACGCTAGAGAGCTTCCGGCCCCAGGGGCAGAAAACTGCAAGGGCTGGGCCCTCCAGATCTCCCTGGGGGCACCCACTGGGGGTTTGGGTCTCAGCGCCAATGAGGAGAAGGGCCGCTTTGTGCGCGTGACCCAGCCTCTGCCAGACAGCACTGAGCCCAGCAGTTGGGAGAGGCTGCCCAGCCCAGCCCAGGGTCTCTGCACAAAGCTGGATTGAGGCCTCGGCTGTGAGGGTAGCGGAGGGTGGCCGTTCAGGCTGTACTGGAGCAGGGCAGAGGAGCCGCTGGGGCTCCTGGGACTGTCCCCACTGCAGTGCCCATGGGCCTGGGTTTGTCCCCCTGATTCCTGAGTCTGATGCCCACAGCAAAAAGTGTAAGCCCTGCAAAGGTTCTGGGGGTGCCATCATTTCCCTAGGATCAGGAGGTGAGCATATGCTCCTGAGTCTCCAGTCCCCTGCTGTTCTTGCTTGCAGTCCATCTTGGAGGAGAAGGTCCTGTAGGATGACTGGGTCTCCCCTTGGGTTTCATTGCATGGATGTCACCTCCTTAACCAGGCCTGGGGGGGACATGCCAGCTGTGAGTTCCATGCCACCACTAGCAGCCACTGTGTGCTTCCAGAGGTCCTGGACCTATCTGCTGGGGCAGGCCCAGGAGTTGGTGCGTGGTGACTGGTTTGGCCAAAGTCCTTCCGAGTTTCTCCTCTGATTTCTGCTCCCAGAAACATCTGGTGCTGTCACCTGGCACACACTGAGGGGGTTTTGGTCACCTCCCGGAGGGCTGACAAGATGGTACTGGGACGGCAGCAAGCAGGAGGCAGGACACCAGAGCACACATCAGCCTACGTGTCCCCTTCCTGGGCACTGGCACCCTCAGGCCTGGACACAACCAGCCACAAATGCCCTCAGCACCAGCACCCAAGCAAGCCTGTAGCTGCTCTGTGCCCTCAGCTCTGTGTCCCCGCCTGGCTCAGGGCCCGGGATGTCCCCTGCACCCACCTGAGCCCTGAGAACGTCAGCTGTCACCCTGGTCCTGCACTCAGAGGTGAGAAGGTGCTTCGGTGGGGCCGCGGGCAACTCAGGGCTGGGCACTCACCTGGCATGCACAAGGCCCTGGGTTTGATCTTTGGCACCAAAACAAAACAGTACCACTGAGAAGGAGGGCATCGCTGTATCCCTTGCTTTGTGGTCCCCTCTCGATGGCCGTCAGGACCCAGGCTGCTGCTCACATGCTCTGTGACCTAAGCGCCAAGCCTCAACCTCTCTTCTGTACAGTGGGAACAGGCTGCTGCATGTCCTCCGGGTGGCACCTTCCTGAGGGCTGGGGCATGGCAGGGTACCCTCCAGGGCAGCACCTTCCTTGGGGCATGGCAGGGTGCCCTCCATGGTGGCACCTTCCTGAGGGCAGGGGCATGGCGGGGTGCCCTCCAGGGTGGCGCCTTCCTGAGGGCAGGGGCATGGCGGGGTGCCCTCCAGGACAGCTCCTTCCTTGGGGCATGGCAGAGTGACCTCCACGTGGCACCTTCCTGAGGGTTGAGGCATGGCGGGGTGCCCTCCAGGGTGGTGCCTTCCTGAGGGCTGGGGCATGGCGGGGTGCCCTCCAGGGCGGCTCCTTCCTTGAGGCATGGCAGGGTGCCCTCCAGGGTGGCGCCTTCCTGAGGGCTGGGGCATGGCGCGGTGCCCTCCAGGGCGGCTCCTTCCTTGGGGCATGGCGGGGTGCCCTCCAGGGC